CTTTCATCATACTCATGATTGATTTGTATGGTCAACAAGATCTTTGACCATTTGCAGAAAATATCAAGAAGACACTAAAACTCTTAACTGATCATGAACTCACAAAATTAAATCAAAAGAAGCTTAATCAGCATGAATTACTAGCAAAAGAAGTGAACCTGAGCCGAAACGATAAAGAATATTCAAAACGGTGAAGCTGATGTTCTTATACTACACAGTCTCCACATTAAACCCTGTACAAGAAGGCAAAACAGAAAGATCAATAGTGATCAAACAACACATAAACAAAGGCCAAACAGAAAGATAATTAGTGATCAAACAACACATAAACAAAGGCCAAACAGAAAGATCATTAGTGATCGAACAACATATAAACAACTAAATGTGTTATTTGTAAAGACAGATAAAGAACATACACCAATTATGGGAATAGTAGTCACAATCTCTTCAAGCTTATATAGAATGGTGGTCTCACCAGCAGCATCAAGACCCATTATAAGAATTCGCAAAAAGCCAACTGAGCAGCTTCGCAAGACAGCCCCATCTTAAACTGAAAACCAAATACATGACAAATCAACAACCCGAAATCAAGATCTATCTCCTTTGGATCTCAGATCTTATAAAATGATGAAACCAACAACATACTATTGAACCGGAAATCCAATTTTCTGGAGGTTCAAAAAAAAAAAATATTGAAACCGAAATCAAGGGTTGACTTGAATGATAACGAGATCCAAAAAAACAGAGATCTCTAGGAAACGATTTTGAAAACCCATAAATCAAAAAATCAATACACACGAATTGACTGTAAATCGAGGGAACATAAACAGAAGTAAGATTCAAAGTACTCAAGATCCGGATCCGAACTTGTTGCACCGAGGTCGATTTACTTGGTGGGGAAAGATAGAGATGCCGTGAGGAGAGTGGAGACGAAAGGAAATGAGCCAGTATCGGAGTTGAGGAAGGGTATAAAAAGCCTTAAAGATAACCATCCAGTCTAGAGAAGAGAAGGATATATAAAGGAACCAACTGGCGCTGAACTGGAGGCTCCACCAGCTCCACCGGCTCCACCGGCTCCACCGGAGTCAAGTGGTAGGAGATCAATGGCGTGAGTAAGGGATGGCAATTCCCTCTTAAATCCGCGGTGGTCCGTGGGTTCCCCGTAGAGATGGAGATTTCAAGAATTTTTTTTTTCATGGGCGGAGATGAAGGTTTTTGTTTTTTTTTTTTCTGTGAAATTTTATAAAAAATTTCTTTATTCTATGAGAATGTAAGGATTTATACATAATAAAAAAATATAAATTTATATATAATTGTAAATATATTAATAATT